TACACCTATGTCTATCACTCCCGAGGTAGTTGTATCCGGATAATTCTGGAGTAATGTCTAAGTCATGGACTAACCAAGTTTCTGTCATTGCTACAATGAGTGGCTTTAATCTGTCCACTAATGCTTCTAGTTCATAGAACTTATTTCTTAGAAAACGAGCGTTGATTAAAACGAAGAATAATAAACGAAAGATATTCTACAACTAAACAGAGACAAACAAGCTTTCAGTATACAATACGTCTACATCTTATTTCGTCATTTGACGCACAACACAAAAGTGAATGTTATGTAGCATTCTGGAGCAAGTGTCAGGTCTATTTGAGTAGAGCTATTAAAGTAACATAAAATCCCTCCTTATAATACAATACGACCAGCTTACCACCTGTTTTATTACGTTATAAAATCTTTATACTTACTTTAATTATAACGTTTAGAAACTTTTCCAATCTCCCAATTTCGGGGAAGCGGCCATAAACTTTGGAAAAATGGCACAAAAACCCGAAAACTTTCCCAGAATCCCATTACACTTTGGGGAAGTGTGTCTATATTTATTAATCATACTAAGAAATTTTAGTATTTTCATTTGTTATAACAACGTTATAACGTTTCCTTCTACGCTTTGGAATGGAAAAATCAGCTTAACGCAAACCTGAGTACCAGCATAAAAAGAGGTTCATACTTATAAATTGTAAGGGGAATGCCTGAAACCTATGGATCGATAACACATAAAGTATAATACATTGCTGTGTCCTAAAGACGACTTTTCACAGTTAACATCAATGAATACTCTCTGGTAATAATAGTTAAGCAAAATTGGAATACCAAATTGAGATAGAACGCACTCTTCTGTTTTTTTAGTATCACGATGATACCATGAAGTTATGGACCTCTACCGAAACCTGATCTATTTACGCATTTCTCAAGGTCACTTTTTATACCAACCTATCTTAGCGAAATCCAATATCCAATATTTAGCCATGAGCTCAAGTAAGCAAATATTTCTGGATGGAACAGAAGAAGCTTTTGCCTAACGGGTTTCCGTATATAGTGGCAATGGAACACCAGTGTTGACATGCCGGAACCCAGGTATATTTAACAATGAAAATATGAATACTGGTAAATTGTAGTGATATACTGTCCTGGGTCCTGAAGAATATGTTGAGTTTTCTCTTAAAATAATGCTGTAAAGACACCAAGACTAGCTCGTTCGTCGGCAAATTCCGGACGTTAGCTACTCCTAGAGAGTAAATGATGTGACTATAGTCCACACTACTATATTGTCTCCTATTTCTTAATGTTAGCCATGGATTTTGTGCTGAAACTGAACTTGAGTAGGTATTAAGAGGATGCTCGAGAGTGGTCATGGTGCAATAATTCACTAGACAGCTACCTATGTGATGTCTATACTCTAAAGAGTAAATCTATTCAATTATTCGTAGTGCTTTTCCTGAGGTTTGTGTTTGAAATTCCTAAGTGGTTTCATGTGTTGATCACCAACGTAGATGACCTGTGCCGGATGACTGGGGGTTACCATAGACGGGAAAAAATCGTGTGACCAACCAGCTAACACCAAAGTCACACACCATGATTGATACCATTTCGTCGTATCCAGGTACTGTGGCTGTTTTGATGACGGTACGACACAGACAAAGTACTTACAGAAATATATTAGTTAGAGTAAGTACAAGGAGCGGTATGTGACCACCACCGCATGGGTCAGCACGTGGCATGTAGTTGACTGATGCGTAATCGTTATCGTTAAACTTGTCGAGGATCGGTGGATTGTTCCATATATAGTGACACAAATGCCGGAAAATTTACCTAGGACCCAGTGACGTTCCACTAAACCTACACATTCGAAAAGGACAAAACAGATCAAACTAGCCTCGACTTCAAAGACTAGAATGACTGTATGGTAAACTGGGGCAAAACAACAATTAACAATTTACTGGAGTAAAACTCGGAAAGAAAAGTATTCTACCGAACATTAGGTTCAAGGCAAATTCTACGGGTGAAAAAAAGATATTTTAGTTGCGTAAGAACACAGCAAAAGTCTGGGAAATGCAAATCACGTTAGCAAAGATGGCGCTGTGATTAGTTCGTCTGGCAGAGCATTCTAGATGTGGTCAAATGTTGATAAGAGAAAATGAGAGCAATTCTATCTGTCCACTCTTCGATTTGCGATCTTTTTAGGTTTGCCTTGAAGAACAAGCTGATGATATTGTTGCACTATGGTGGTGTTGAAGTTGCCTAACGTACTTAATATGTTGTATGCTGCTATAGTTCAATGAGATTGGTGCTAAATGTTGGAGTCTGTCCTCGTAAGATTTGTGCATTAAACCTATCAACCACTTGATTGCGTGTCTGTGCACTTGGTCCAAAAGGTTTATGTAGCCTTTAGAGACTTACCTATTCATAACTAAGTATTTTAACAACCCATACTTCTAACAGACATTCGACATGTATCTTCAGATATACAAAACACGACCCCAATCAATATATTTAGCCGGGAACATTACACAACGAATCATGTCTACCGAACTACCCGCATTTTTGTGAGCGCCCGGATCAGCTCTCGCTTAGCTAAACCTGGCAAAAAACGAACTCAATCATACGTCAGAGTTAACAGTGATCCGGCTGTCAAAGAACAGAAGAGCTTTTCTTCACATAGCTACAATCTTCATTCAACTGGGGATTGTCGGCGACTTACCAGGAAAACGAATCCTGATCGTTACCCTCTGTCACACATCAACACCCTGAAATCTAACTTGAATAATACAACCCATTTGGCAAAAGTCAATCTAGTTAAAGCGCACATCCGAATTCACCTGCTGCAGTTGGTATTGCAAGAACGACTATCCTCATTCATTGCAGGCTTTTCGAACTCGATTGAGAGGGTGTTCGTTTTTCGATTTGCACCACATCTGATTTGCAAGAATTAAATTTTCTGAATTTCTGTAGTTCATAGCTATCAGGAGCGGAAACATTTTGTTTGAGAGTTGTAGCACTCGAAGTAGCTTGGATGCGCTGATTATCGTTGTGGTGAAAATGCCCATGGAACTTGATGGTCAACTCCTCTGTAGTATGCCGTGTCTTTGAGCTTCATATTGGCTATCACCTACTAGCTCAGGTTACCTTGAAACCAGCACGCTGGCTGTTTCTTGGGTTTTCGCTGATATTCTAGCAGTATATATTGCGGCTCACGGTTTATCTTATCTGATTGAGACTTGTAAAGGAAATGTGGTGAATCCAATCTTGCCTTCAATGGCAGAGGCCTATGATTCGCTTTACTTTGGCCTGTAACCGGTGCAATTACAAGGCTAGGGTGGTACTCCTTATCATTGTAGATCACCAACGTAGATGATCTATGTCGAAAATGATCGGAGGCCTACTGGAGTTAGACGTGAATGGTGTGACAAAGAAGCTAACATCGAAGTCACATTTCGTGGTCAGCACCTTACATGGACTACCCCATTGACGTATCAAGGTACCATAGATCCTTTGAAGACTGCACATTACAGAGAACGTTATTACAGAAATATATTAGTCAAAGTAGATACAGGCGAAAAAGAGACCACTTCCGCATGGGCCAGTCCATGGCATATGATTTACTGACGCGCGTTGGTTGCCCCTGACCTAGACGAGGATCAATGATTTGCTCGATATTCAGTGACCCAACTGCCGGATGATTTGGCTAGGGCTTAGTGACACTTCGCTGGCCCTACACCATCGTTGGATTGTAATTCTCCCACCGTTTCTCATCAAAGGCTCACCTTTTGGCTCACCTACATTCTAACAAGTCACTCTCAAACTCTGGAGCACCAAATATAATCTGGCAGATTTTTCCAACATGATTTCTCTATCTTCAGCCTTTTACTAGTTTTGTTTCAGTCATTTCCCTTACCGAGAAACGCACAGACTGTTCTTTACTGTTTACAGATACTGGACTAATAGCAGCAGTCGGTAATTTCACTGGAGAATTAGTTCAAGTTGAGGTTCCATAATCGCGTGTTCGGTTGAGCCTATGTATGACGGTTTGGACATAGAGGTGAATATTGACACGGTTACTTGTGACGAGATCTTATAATTCTCTTTTATTAGTTCAGTTGATGTACTTTCTCTACACTATGAGCAAACGTACCGGAACTCTGCATCGAGTAACTTAACATAAACATATAGTATTGCATGGGTATCGCATTATTATAAAGACAGTGAATCCAGCCATCACATAAATTGCATTCAAATATAAATTCGCTGGTTTTCACAAGCGCAAGCATGCGATACGATTATCCTTTAAGTGCTAGTTCTTATCAGCAGCTAGCAAGTCGGGCAGTTTGAGACCTCACATTCTGTCATTCACTTTTTTTATTAGTCCTACCAGGAGAAGGGACTTGAATGGAAGTGCGATCTTAATTACGTAGTAATTAATTGATTCGAGTGATTTATGTTTTGAACATTAACCTTTTAATATTGTTTGGTCTTGAGATTGCTTTTAATCTTACTTCGAGAAATGGAGATTTACTACCAAAAACCGACATCCGTATGAGGACGACCAATCCCTAAAACCGCCCCAGTATATGATAAGTTATTACTAGTGGCAGTGTAGTTACTTAACATGCTACTCAACAGACTAAAAAGAAAAATTTGAGACAATTTTAGGTGAAGTATGCTTGGCAAATGTTTCGAGGGAGAACAATAATAATGAGAGGTGCAAATATGCTTCGCGAGGATTAAAAATTTGGGAAATGAAATTGGAATATGAAATTTGACCGTACTAGTAATCGATTTCGCGTGTAGCCAGTAATTAGTCCACGAGTCCTGCGTTTAGAATTAAATGGACGTGTTTATGCAACAGTTGAAGCAACTATGGTGAGAGTGGCTGATAGAAAAGATTGTATCAACAGCAAAATAGTTTTATTTTTTTATGAATGTGGTTATAAGATTTGCCTACAAGCATGGTGAAGAGGTAGCTCGTATCCTTGATAGTGTTGGATATTGTCATGACCTTTGTACGTCCTTAAGGCGCTATGTTCAGAAGATTTGTGAAGTTCGTCTGATTTGTGGTTTTTTAATCCTTTGGTTAAACACATCAGTAATGGACTCAGCAGATAACCCTTTTGCCTCACTTGTGAAAAATTCATCAGTCGGTAATTTGTTTCATAGGTTTTTGAGGGAATTTTTACTTAGGTCTGGGTCCAGCAATATTTGGTGCCTGTGAAACTGAGGTTACTAAAATCTTGGAGAACATACTGCTCATTACCCATGACAAAGGTTTGGAGTTATTCACATGTTTTACTTTCACAGATCTTGTTCTTGGTGAATCCGGTAGACCTAGTCATTTACTTTACATACAACCGTTCTCGTGTGGAAATGTTCAAATTTCCGGGAGCAGTTTGGATGAACTTATATTTGACCGCACCCAAATGAGAAAGTTCAACGATTATGATGTTGTCAGCCTTAAGACAGGTGCAGCCACGGATATCAATGACGTTTTAACTTCTAATCCAATTAGTTATTTGGTTTCTTCTTATCGCCGCGCGTGTGCAATTAAACAAACAAACGCTGTAAGTAGATGTTGAACTATGATTTGTTATGTTAGCTTTGCTTCTTTGTATCATTGAGATCCTAAATTTCCTCCTTCTACTCCGAGATTAACGATAAAAAGCTGTTGTTGAACTGTTGCTTTCTTGTTTCCGTTTGTTACTTATCAATGAGCACAGTGTTATAAAGTGACTGGTTTTCCCTATATAAACTTTGAATCAAGTTCAGCTTGCCTCTTCTCCGATTGTTTCAGTGCAGTGGATGAATTACTGTTTGGGATCGATGCAGTATATTCCACTCTGTTAACTTTCTAGGAGTTCGATTAGTTTGAGTAATAATGATGCAAAACCGTACATTACTGTATCAGTACATTGTTGAAACTCCTCCTATCATTGCATTGTTGCAAGTAAGTTTGGAGATATAGATATCAGAAATCTAGGCATTTTGTTCGGTTTGTTCCTTGATCAACTATTTTTTAATTTTTTCCTGTTATGAGATCCACCTTTAGCATCACCAGTTCATTCATAGTTGTTTCGAATGATATATCGGGCTACTGGAAGTAATAATAATTTATGTACTATGATATTATTAGGCTAGTTAGCAGATGTTGAAATGCTTAATTACCTAAAGGTGCTCATATGAAATGATGGTCACCTTGTAAGCGATTGTCTTCTCTGCAAAGTATACCACAGTTTTCAGAGACATTTATCGTTTCTTCATTGCAGTCTGTCTAAACAAGTCAACAGAATTCCCTGTTACTATATGTTATGAAGTTTGTTTTTAATTTTATAACTTTTCGTGCCAATAGCTATAGTATATGACTTCCTACTTTAATCTGTCGCTGTCAGCCTTAATATTAGTATAAACTTGCCTTATATCTTTATATGTCAGTACTGCCATCTATATTTTGTTATGTCAGCTTTCACAGATCGTTGAAGATTGTCGCAAAAGTATTGTAAGACAAATTGTACTTCTGTTGCTTGTTGATGCTGAGTCTGATAATCCGGAAAGCAGCACGAACCTATTTGATATCATTTATCAAGCTCTCTGCACAGGTATGTTAACTTGAGGTCACTTTTCGCATGTAAACTGTTAACCTTTTTAATTTGGAGTTTTGCGCATAGTACACTTCATTCCTCTTATAAATTAACTTAGCACTTTTTATAGTTTTTTTATTGTTTTGTCTAATGAATGTTTTTAACTTTTTAATTTTAATAAAAGATGACGGCGATCAAATTGCTTACATTCAAAAAATGTTTGACGAAGTTCTTAATCATCTGGAGTCGGAATCTCTATCGGATGTAAGTATAGAAGAATCTTGTCCTCAGTCTGCATTAAACAGTTTACGACCGTTGGTCAATCGCCTTCTAATTCAGTTAAGAAATATTTATTATTCCTCAGTGCAGTCACCAACAGTAGTAAATAGCTTCCTAAATAAACAGTTAGTGGGTGCTAGGGAACGTGTCTTGTTCTGTCCTCAACGCCGTCCTCTGTTGATCATGACAATTTGGTTATCTAAGTATTCAGTCACTGCTCAGGTATGTCTATTTCAGGTTATTCAGTGTTTTCAATATTCTAATCATTATTATCAAGTGATGCTTTTGTTTGGGATGTTTTCCTCGTTTTGTTACTGTTCTAGTCAGTGGTCGGTTGCATTTTTCTATAATGAAGGTGATTCGTAGACTTCTATTCGCCCCCAAATGCGCTGGTACGGCCGAGTGTAGGGAGAGTCCACTCTCCTTTTCGAAATGCTCCTACATGGCCATGCGTATACAGCTACTGCCACGGAAGTCCTACTCACTGACTTCTTGAAGTGGGGGTTTGGATTACAAAATTGAGAGGACAAAAAGCGAATGTCCGGTGCTTTAATCGGGTTAATGTGTACGGAGGATTCACTTGAAGGAGTAGGAAAACTCTGATTTCAAACCGATGGTGTAAATGTGCTCCAGAATCCTGAGGGAACAAATGGAGTATGAACCAATTATTGATCACCAGCTACCATGGGACTACATCTCCTTACGTTACTCCATTGCCTTGTGGATCAGACCTTTAGGTTGAAGGCTCAGGGTGTGGCTCCCTGAGAAAACCACCTACCTCGGTCTGGGTACTTGGGCAGTATCACAGCCCACACACAAATCAAGTGACTTGTGTGGCACATATGTATTTGGTGCCCCCTTGTAACAATATTTACGTGTTCAAATAAATAAATAAGTTCGCTACATGATACTGCATGGATCAGTTCGCTAACTGATAGTTGTTGGTGATCTTCATCCCGGGAAGTTTTATCATTTCTGCTATCAGTTAGAAAGTGTTTTATTACACATAAAAGTAGTACGTATAACTCTTAGTTTATTTTCTGAAACTCTCATTTAGGATTAAAATCTTTGTAAGTTGAAATCCCTTTGCTATCATTTTGGTATGCCTAGTTGAATGTATTGTATATTTTCTAACAGGATAAATTGTAACCTAGTATCAGTATATCTATACCATTGTTGCTAGTATAAAACTTTAGTCCAAAATATAGATAGCATTTAAAACGCTTTGTTCAATTGTTAGTAAGAGATTTCTACTTGTTTTACGAAAAATTTAATTAAATTGTGTCTTAGTTTTCAAGTCTCTGGACTGTGAATTTGACTATGTTTAATTATCAATCTTTTTGAAACAGCATTACCACTGTGCTTGAGGAATAACAGTCAAGTTAAGATCAATAGAGAGCTTTTCTAATTTTATCAGTTCTTTTATTTTTTTGTTGCGAAAACTGTATTTGACATTACCGCATATAAACGTGTACATTATTTGTTAAACTTTAAAATATTTTCGTACCAATTTCTTTTTTACAGCTTCTTATTGAGTTGTCGTTTCCTCAGAGTTTCTCCAGTGGTTCATTTAGACCTGATGAATTCGAAGGTGGTCTTTTGGGTCGACTTCTAGTTCCCAGTCATTTACATTCACCTCAAGCAGCGGAAACAATTTTCCTAACTAACCAGGCTCCAATCGGTGAATTTTTTACCGAAGAAGTACCTCTAAAATCTGTTGTAGAGTCCGAACAACGTACAATATGGCAGGTATGTTACCAACATTTGTGGCACTTATCAGATATTTTTATAAGGTTCCTTCACAATAATGTCCAAAGATTAAGTTATTTTAGACTATAATGATGCAGCTATGACGCCCACTGGGATGCTATTATGTATACTGGTTATTTGATAAAATGTAATGCAACTGAGAGTGAAGAGGACTATTCTTTGTTCAGTTGTATCGAGCGTAAAGTATTTTAACCCCAGTGCATGCAGTATTTACCTTATTTGATGTTTACTTTGTACTACTCGTGAGGGTAGTGTTTGATGCACTTATTATTTATCATAGGTATCTGAGTTTTTTCACTAATTTACGGATTCAAACCATGCTTCGTATAATTTGTACAATCCTACTTCATTAACCTTGGATCATAAACCAGTATACGTACCTATACATAGTTGCTGAGTTTTATTACATTGCTCTGTATCATTTTAGTAGGTTTGATTTTTCCGATGGATCTATTCTTTCTATGCCCTAATAAGTTGTAAAGCGTTTTTAACTGTACACCTAATTGGAAAGCACGTTCACAAGACTGGCATAACCCTCATCCTGCACTTATTCTGGGTAGTGAGAAGATAGAAGTGGTCGAGAAGTTCGCGTATCTGGGTAGTTGCCTAAGTGCTGGTGGTGGCGTGGGTGATGAGATCAATTCACGTATAGTGAAAGCCAGAGCGGCTTATGCCAATCTAGGCCATTTTTGGCGCCTTCGTGATTTTAGTTTGGCTGTAAAAGGTCGGATCGACAACGCGCCGATGAGAGCAGTTTTTCCCTATATATGTGAAACCTGGCTTCTCCGAGTTGAGGATGTTAGGCGATTATTTGTGTCTGATCATCATTGTCTCCGAAGGATTGCTGACATCCAGTAGCAACTTCGTGTTTGTAATGTAGAGACTCAGTATTGTGTTCGAACACAGCGACGACGATTCACTTGTTGTCGCTGTCCTGAAGCGTCGACTTCAGTGGCTTGGACATGTCTTACGAATGTCGTCCCCGCGAATTACACATCGTGCATTATTTGCCGATTTTGGGACTGATTGTAAAAAGCAGAGAGGTGTTCAGTTTATAACATGGTGTTGTGGTATGAAAGAAAGTTGTACACGACTGGCTTCTGTTGGTCCTTCACGAATCTCTAGTTTGGGTCCTTCAGTTCGTACAACATACTGGCTTGAGGCGTTATCAGACATGGCTCAGAATTGAAGCTAGTGACGATCCTGCTGTAACTCTTACTTTCTTTATATAGGTGAGAAGAGCTTTAACGGAACTTCAACTGAAAGAATCCTTTCTGGTTGTATTTTTCATAACTGAACTGCTTTTCCCATTATTTTTTTACTTATCCACTTATTTTTATTCACCTATTATTCTTTAATTTATTATACTCACCTTCCTTTTCCTATCTCTTCACGATCTCCTTTTCTTATTGTGTGGCGCATATTAATCTTAGTGTTTCAAAACAAAGGTTTTCACTATTCTTCAAATTGATCATTAGGGAAATCATGAATCGATTCTCTAACAATGCTTGAATAATTTTGATACGGAAACCCCATGTACTGTGCTTGCTCTTACCGTGGTTAGTACTGAATGTTAGGTGGTGCGTATATGTAACCGACTGATTTTTATCTTTCGATTGTTGATGTTAGGTGCTGCTATTGATCAATATTGGTTGACATATGTATATTCTGAGAGGATCACCGTGATGTTTTAACTGTCTTAAGTTTTAATTTACTAAAACAAAACTATCCTATGAAACCGTCTGTATTGCACTAAGCGTTGGGGTTTGAAAGGAACAACTTATTTCATAGTTTGAAAATAACCAATATTTTTAGTTATCATGTAAATGTTCTGCTTCTAGAAGTGATTAATCTATGTATTGGTATGGATTTCCAGTATCCTCATTCACTTGTTGTTGATCTATTTTATTTAACCAGAAACACTATTGTATGTATTGTCTGTTTTATGTAAATCATTCTAGTTAACTGAACAAATGGATTTGGAGTTGAACACCTTGTTCACTAATTTACTCAGGGTCGGCAAACGACGTCCATATATTAAAAAGTTACTGTTCAAATGGTTCGGTGGATGTATTCATGCTAACAAAGGTTTGTCTTAATGTTTCGTATTTTTCATTATTTACATATTTCTATTTACAAGTATTTATGTATATTCAGTCTGAATTCCTGAGAAACTGTATTATTGTTAGGATTAATCTTGTTTATCCATTTGCAATGAGGTTTGTTTTTGTAGTTTATTTGTACATACTTATAGCTAGAGTCCAAAAGTTCTCTATACTTGTCAAATTAGTACTCAATAAAATAATTATATTTCTTTCAGTTCAAAGGACTTTGTTACTCAGACTAAATTATCCGGAAAGAATTTTATGCATACGATCTTTTTTTAATTTAATAAACCATTGCTGCTTTTTAACTTTCGTAACGAAGGCAGAATTTTGACTTCAAGAAAATATATTCATCTTATCTAACATAAAGTTAACTAAACGCTGAATACTAAGAACACAAGTTTATATTCATCACGTTGTCTAAAATATGGTCTTTTGCGTTGCAAACTTAGGTTGGTTTCTCAGGAAAACGTTAGTAATAACAACTGACTAGAGTTTAAAATTACAATGCAATAATTAAAAAAAATCAGTAATGATCAAATAAAAATGAAGAAAAAAGAAAAAAAAACAGTCAAAACATATCACTAAGGGGAATTAGGGCCAAGGAAGGATGAGAGGTTGGACGAATCGTTTTTGCTCACAAAGTTCGGGACTGAGTTCGTGGATTGCCGATTCCTCAGCAGTGCATAAAATATTGATTCGACATCCCTTCGGTCCAATTCCTTTGACTGTGTGGATTACTTTAAAAGACTCCTTTGGAGCGACGTATCCATAGTAGATTAAATGCTCCTTATATTCCTTCCCTACCCCTTGATTATTGCGTAACCTCATTTGATATTTAGTCAATTTAAGATGCAATCTTTTCTATCCTTCTATAGACATATTTTCCATGTAACTATAAATACGAATGTACAGCTTAAGTAAATGATTTCGTCAAGAAGAAATTTTTCTCTGAATTCTCTTTATTCAATGACACAATGGGTTATTTCAATTATCTAAAACGTTAGTTTTACCATGATTCCATCTAACTTTTATATAAACATACTTTCTTAGCTTATTCGAGTTGTTGGAAAACGAGGTGTATGTTAATAAACTCTGTTGCACATATGTATTACTTTCTCGGAAGTATATTTATTGAAAACTATTTTATTTGATTTCGTTGTGTGCTTTGGATCATATACGGAATAATGCAAAATACACTCGTCAAATCGGTGTACCTGCATCCCTGAGTTGATGTTCACTCCGGGACTCGGACCCAGTACCGTTTGCTTCTAGTGAGTTGCTATCTGAACGTAGCAGCTAATTGGTTAACACGATGGCGTTCGAAGCATGGAGTATTAGGTTCGAGTCCCGGAATGAATATCAAATTTGGGGTGCTGGTACACTCATCTAAGGAGTCCCATATAGGACGAAATGTGTGTCCTGGATTTCACTGCTGGCCAAATTTAATCTATTCTATATCAGTTTGTGTCATAATGTCTAAATCGGCAATCCGCACAAGATGCCCAGATGTCAACCAAGATTGATTAAATTTCGGTCAAAAATATCAGCAGGGTAATCCAGACCTTTTCAAATAGAGCTAAATCATTGGGCTGTTTTAGTATCGACTTCTATTTTAGTGAACTCAAACTAAATCTGGACTTCACAAATTTTTGTTTCATTGAATAGTTTTCCGGTGAATACACTAAGTAAGAGAATAAAACCTTTATTTTACTAAATTTTGGTCATATCTATTCTATATACTTTAAAATACTGTGGCAGTACGCTTTACTCGTCTACTTTTTTATTATTTACCACATTCTTAAAAGTCTTCACTATCGAGGCCCTCCACCTGTCTCATTGATCCATGCTTTGCTAAAACCATATTCACTGACGATATTCCCCGATTCATTTCACTAGAAATCATGCAATTGATAAATTGGCAATTGGAACTCATAGACAACGTGATAATTTCTACGCTATCAACAACATGAGTCATTCTCGAATTTTTCACGTCCTTTACTGAAACCCTTGATTAGTCTAAAAAGATCTATTTACCGCAATGTTGCTAAGCCTTGAGTTAGTTTCCTAAGCTCATCTAATAACCCAAGGCTAAATCTACACGACAACTTGAACACGATAGAAAGAGCGCTTTACTCCAGGGTTTGTTTGTGTACAATATCTTGAGGGTGTTTATAGCATTTCAGACGGCCCTGGGCTTGTGCAAGGTTCTGGAACCCTGATAAGCATACTAGCAGGATGGGCAGTCATCCAGTCAGAAATGTGACATTTGACTCTTCACTTTATAGATGTTTCTGGGAAACCTTTGTTCAACGCTCATTGGATAAAATGTCTCCTAGCATTTGCAGCCCCCCTCTAGACTTTTTCTAGGAGTTCTTTGAATCTCACTAACAAATGTATTTTCTCCGGAAACACTCCTGAAAATTTCATGAACTTCCTAAAATGTTTATTCCCCAAGTTTCACTGGAAATGTGATTGAGAGTTCTTCGCGCATTGATTAAACAGACCGTGTCTATTAAATAATCTAACTAGTCTGTTATACACATTTTTGGAGCATTAATAATTTTGTTGTTGTGTTTGTTTTTTATTCATACAGCTCGTGGTCAGTTAGCACATTCAATTATGAATCATGATTTATTAAGTCGATCAAATACACCAAATCTAGCTGGTGATGGATTTCTTAGCAATTTTACAGCAGTTTTAGTTCGATTAACTGGACCATTAGTGACGTTGCCAGAGAAACCGCCGTTGGATAAAATTTGGCCAGAATATGCTACAGATTCATGTGCAGATCGAACAGTATTACCAGGTTTTTCTTTTTTCTTTTATTAGAAATGATGTAGCAACTTTCAGTACGTATTAAAAACATCAAAGTAGTATTAATTTTGAAGCTTAAAGTCAAACACTAACTTTCTTCTTGGTAACAGTTAATCAAGACCTGATAAAATTCTGTGACCATATGGAACACATTATCGTTCATAATGATAATGTTGATATTATATTCTTTATCTTAATAACCTAAGATGACTAGTAGATTATCTGTACTCCGCGTATGTCCCAGTTCAAACGATTGTCTTCTCAATTAGTTTAATACTTTCTGTTTACTTAGTGACTTGTTTAAACTTATAGCCGAAAGGTGTAATCTTAACAAGTCAACTCTTGCTTGATGTGAAAATGAATGTATAAGGACGATTACTAGATGCCTGGGAAAGGCATCAAATCTCAAAAATCCAAATGACTTAATAGGTGAATGAGCGATCATGTGCTTGTTATGAAAGCTCAAAATTTTATGTTGCACTCAAATACTTGGTGGTTAGTAGTTTTAAATTTTCCTAATTAGGAATACTGTAATGTTAGTTAAATTTGTGCGAACATAGTAAAATGTCTGTATACTATGGAAGCGTTCTACTGGAATGAAGTATAAAATAGTTTCATATTATTAGTTCTCAGCGTGGGAGGTTTGTGGAGATTGTTGAATGTAATTGAGATCACGAGTCGGCCTAAGTTAAACAACCTTTGAAAACCAGGAAGCACTGGACAACTTTTTGGTATCGGTATGGGACTCCTTAGCAGAATACCTCCATGACCTTACCGAGGATCAAGCCCAGGACCCTCAAATCTCGCAACAAGCATTTAGCCTTTAAATCACTAAATCGGTATCTAGTGATTTATGATTCTAGCTTCAAACAGTTCGCAATATTGCGCAATCGTCTTCCATTAGTTCTCTCTATTGCTTTTGTTGAAGTATTTAGACATTATATATTTGTGTCTTTCGTGGGTATCCATACATAAAAGTCTTGTTTGTCCTCTTCAAGCATCATTTCAATTTATTTTAAAGTGTGAAAAATAGAAAGTGAATTTAAGCTTATCAGTGCTCTCCTAGCCTTGATTTTTTCTTAAAAAAAAGAAATGTACTATTAACAATTAAGGCATCATAGTCAGTGCAATTTTGCTTTCTTGTTGTCTGTTCAATTATGGAAAACTAACGATACTTTCGTACAATGAACTTAGCATCTATCTATAATGTCTATAAAAACTTGGTTTTTGTGAACTTTACTTAATTAGCCATTCAGTGATTGATTTGTCGGCTTTTTTTTCCAGAAAAATTACTATACTGTTCTGTTGTTTTTCAATATTATTATCATTACTATTGTCATTATTATTATTGTCTTACTTCAGATTTACGTGGAGAAACACGTCTTGCACCTGCAAATAAAATTTTTAAGAAATCTGAAAATGCTTCACTTGTAGTAATGAATAATGAAGATTATCCTCTTTTAACAGAATTATTTTTTCTTGCACATGCGGCTATACGTATTGGATGGACATCGTTAATTGCTAGACATTTTGAAACTGGTCAACAATTGCATCGGTTAGAAGATCAATTACAACCACATGAATCAGATAATTCTAATGATTCTCAAGGTAAATTAATTTATTCAACTTATTTGTCAGATATAGGTTCGTGTACTTGACTTTCAGTCAAACTTTCAGTGCAAGGTCTAGTAATACTGTCTAGTTGCTGAGATCTAAATAGGTGTTAAGGAATTTGAACCTAAAACTTTATGACTAAAAGTAGAACGCCTTAACTAAAAAACTGCCACTCAGGTTTGAAGTTTAGGTTTTTATAAAGTTAGGCACCTGCATGAAAAGAGATTCAGAAGAACAAGAGAAAAAGCATTTAGATAATGAAATACTGACTTATGAAGCATAAGTTGTTAATTAGCAATTCTTTATCATGAGTTGATTCTTTTATTCTGGTGGTTTAAAATAATGAATTACTAGGGTTCACAAATACACAATAATAAAACGATCAATTTATTTCATTCTACGAACAAAGTTTTCCTCATCAATGTGTATTAATCTTTGATCTTTCTCATTCAATTAGTGATAGGGATTCACTATGTTATTTCTAACGGACAACTATCAGTTGAAATCATGAGTCAATTGAAGCTAGACCACCATGGAAAACCTGGAAGCACTGGACGGCCGTCTCGTCCTAGTATGGGACTCTTCAGCAGTGTTCATCCACGATCCTGCCCTCCGCGAGATTTGAACTCAGCTGGTGGTCTAATGGTTAAGTGCTCGCGCGCGAGACTGATAGGTTATGGGTTCGAATCTCGCAGGGGGCGGGACCGTGGATGTGCACTGCTGAGGAGTCCCATACTAGAATGAAACGGCCTTTCAGTGCTTCCGGGTTTTCCATGGTGGTCTAGCTTCAATTGACTCATGATTTCAACTATTTAAATTTCTAAAATCTCCACAAAACCCCGTCGGATAACTATTAATTGATAGATAGACACTGTAATGTTTCTTTTTCTTTGTTTAAATGAACCCGTGAATATTTACATGCACGTGTTTAGTTGGATTTGATGATAATACTGTACATTATATTGTATCACATTACAGCATTTTTTCCCACTCCAATTAACTATTTGAATACCACCCCCAAAAAATTCAGAATATAGTTCTTGATAGATCATTAGGCTTTAAAGTTCATTCTTGAAGTTTTACACGATATTTTGGATTTTTATTAGTCAGTCCTCCAGGTGCTTGGTATGGCTGAGAGTGGGGACAATCCACTCTCCCTCTCGAAATGCTCTCACATGGCCATGCGTATGCAGCTACTGCCACGGAAGTCCTACTCACTACCTTCTCGTTGCATTACTGTTGTTTACGAAATTGAGAAGACGAAAAATGAATGTCCGGCGCTCTAACCGGGTTGGTGGACACGGAGAGTTTACCTAAGGAATTTTGAAAACCTTGATTCCAAACCGATGGTTCACATAGGTTCCAGGATCCTGAGGGAACAAATGGAGTATGAACCAATTATTGGTCACCGGCTACCATGGGTGTGAATCTCCTAACGTTGCTCCACTGCTTTGTGGATTAGACCTTTAGGTTGAAGGCTCAGGGTGTGGCCTCCTAAGAAAACCACCTGCCTTGGTCTGGGTACTTGGGAAGTATCCCAGCCCTCACACAAATCAAATGAGATTTGTGTGGCGCATATCTATTTGGTGCCCTCTTGTACCAATATCTATGTGTTCAAATAAGTAAACAAATAAAATCAGTGGTTAGTAGTGACCTCTTGGAAAAGTTCAGATGCATATATGTGGTATGGAAGCGGATCCTTTCTTAAATTAAAACCTGCCTGTATGATTGTTTGACATGACATCAAACCCAACTGATAGGTTATAAATGAAATTTATCCATATGTATAGTATGTTTCTTTTATTATGAGTCATACTGTAACGCTGCAAAAATTGAATAATAATTATGAACATTATTACTACTAATATTTTGTTAAAACCACGTCCTCTTTTTTCATGTTTCTTACAGTAATTTTTCTACGTCGTTTTATGCGTGAACGCACTGCACGGTATTTGGAACAATCTACCAGTTTGTCGTGTATGTCTCGATTAAAAGATCAATTGTCATTTGCTGTGACCACTTGTCGTTTTCTTGTTAAATTGGCTAAGTGTATACTAAACAAAAATAGTAGTTATAGTAATGATACTACTACTTCTACCTCTGACTCAACATCATTTTCTCATGGTTGTCTTTCTGATTTACCAGAATATTTGGTTGATAATGTCGTGGAACTTGTTAGTTATTTAAGACGTGGCAAAGATGAATTTCTTGAGGTTAGTATTTTTTTGTTTTTTCATAGTTTTCTGTATTGATTTTTTTCATTTGTCGTCTTCTCTCTTCTTCGAAACATTGCTCGTATATCCTGGGACCATCGGGTAAGTAACGCAGTTGTTAGGACACGGGTACTAGGTAAGGATGGCAAATTCATTGATGAAGTAATGAAACTTCATCAGTTGAGATGGCTGGGACACGTGTTACGTATGCTCAACCACCGACTGCCTCGACGTGCTATGTCCAGTGGTATAGGAGTAGGTTGGAAGAAAGCTAGTGGCAGCCAGACCAAAACATGGCACAAGTCCATGAAGTCACTGACAAGTGAACTGAGTCATGTTGGTAGGTGTAGAATACCTGGTTGGGGACCGCGAGATGATAGCAACCGATGGTTAGAGACCCTGAATGACATTGCTGAAAATCGTTTGCAATGGCGCAGGTGCATCCACTCTTTGTGTTTACCCAAATTCTAATATTCTAAGTTGTTCGTATCCTTTTTTTCTCTTCCGAAATTTCTTTCACTGTATTATACTCTTTGAATAACATCCTCAAACCCTAATGTTTCCGATTGCTGCTTATACTCTTACTACCTCTACCACTACGGGATTTAAATCGACAAGTGCATCTCTGTGGTAATGTGGTGTGGCAACTCGAACTGATGTACGTACTTACGAAGTTCTACGTTGTTACTGACTGACTCTCTCATCAGAGTTTATGTTTTAATTTATAAAAGTTTAATTTAACCCAAGAATAAATACCTGGTCTGTATTCACTTTAAAACAATGCTCTTCAATAAGAGGAAATTACAAACCCGAACTAATTACTTTCATACACCTTGAACAAGCTAGTACTTATCTATACTCAATAACCCAGTGGATAAAGCGTTTGCTGTTTTAAGCTAGTCTTTGTGTGAACATCAATTCTAGGATACATGTACATTCACTTGACGGGATCTGAATAAGATAAAAATGACTTTTAGGTTCCACTCCTAATAACACACCAAAAACTCCCCATAAAAAGGCTATGCTTGATCGGCTTCTAATAGTTGTCCTTTGGGCTTTGTGGTCACACCCCAAGGTCATTTAGACCGTCACTAACCCAGGCTTGTTTTTAGGTTCCTGAAGAAGAAATATGCTTCCACTATATGGACAGTCATGTAGTGGCAGTCATCCTAATATTTCTAACAGCACCTTTGTTCACTGAGATATTGATCAGATATAAGCGATCGATCATTTTCCAAATTTCTTGTGTAATGAAGTAATTACTATTAATAAAATGTACTTCCTACTGTCTATGTCTTAAATTATAATGAATAAGAGGAGCAGTAACTCTTTATTACATTTAGTACAAGCCAGCGGCTCAATTGCGTTCAATGTTCTGAATTATTAATATTTTCTGTTAACTATGCTGTTTGTGACTATCAGTGTAAAATAGTGATTAGGCCCCCAAATGCTTTGGTACGGCCGAGAGTGGGGAGGATCCACTCTCCCTCTCGAAATGCTCTTACGTGACCACGCGTATATAGCCTCTATCAGGGTAGTCCTACTCACTGCCTTCTCGTTGCATTACTGTTGTTTACGAAAACCACTGGTGCACGTGGGCTCCAGTATCCTAGAGCAACAAATGGCGTATGAACCAGTCGTTGGTCACCAGCTACCATGGGACTACATCTCCTTACGTTACTCCACTGCTTTGTGGATCAGACCTTTAGGTTGAAGGCTCCGGGTGTGGCCCTATAAAAAAACCACTTACCTCGGTCTGGGTACTTGGGCAGTATCCCAGCCCTCACACAAATCAAATGGGATTTGTGTGGCGCATATGCATTTGGTGCCTCCTTGTACCAATATCTATGCGGTAGAATAAAATAATAAATAGTGATTAGACAGCTGCATCCCTTCAAGTTCTTTGTTATTCATTTTAAGGATAAATTTTCTACTGAAAACCAGTCACTTTATAAAATCACTGGATTACACTGTTCCACACTACACATTCCCTCTGTAAAATGCAATGGAGAGGGACAGTTTGTAGAAATTTTCTTTGTCTGTCTGTTTACATTAAACCAATGTTTATATGGGATTACATATATTCATGTGTGCATATCGCAGATTAGATTGTTACCACACAATTAATACATACTGAACGATATTTAGTGTATATTGAAATTAAATACGTATATTGAAAATCAATGGCCCATGTAACACATACCTATATCTTTGTTTTACTACTTATGAATATTGACAACTGTATTAAGTAATAAATAACTATTTTGTAGACTTTTTCATAAACTGAACTATTTAAGAATTGTTGTATAATATGGCCTGTATCGTATATATCAAGCATACACCGCACGATCCGATATGTAGTTAGATTCATAACTACTAATATTAATTAACGATAATCGATAGAAATTATTCTTTGTGCTTATTTATTTATTTTATTGACGTATCAGAGTAAAATTCTATACTAATTATTGAAGGTCTTCTTTTAGCCAAGAGTACATGAACTGTCACTGATTATTATTTTCACTGTAAAGGGTTTGTAGTAATTGTTGCATTTCATAGTTAACATCACACACTGATCTTAGACAATTTTTGAAAACTAATAACGACTGAACAGCTGTTTTGTCTTTGTATGGGACTCCAGCATTGTGCATCCAGGAACCTATCGAGAATCAAAGCTCGAACTTCTAGAATTTATGGCAATCAGTTAACAATTAGAACTTTGTTTTGGCATTTATTGGTCCAATTGTCTAAATCTAATTAATTTTTGGTGTTGCACAACCATCTTCCAGTGGCATTGATGAGCAAATGCTTCACAACCAACATGCTCGACCTGCTTTGATCACGGCACTTCACTAGAACTCCTGGACTTATCTTTAGAAACTAGTTCCTAGTGAACACATGTTTGTTATTTGTATAAGAGGTTTGTGCACATTGTTGGATTTCACAGTATACATCACGAGCGATTGGACACTTCATATACCGAGAGTTTTCAATAATTTAATTTCTTTAATGTTAGAAATAATTTTTGTCGTAAAACAACGACCTAATCCATTGATATAATAAATGAATAGTGTATATACTTAACAAATCAGTTATTGTCGAACGACCAAAAAAATTATATATGATATAGTTGCATCAAGATTGTAATATCAACTTCACAATAAAAGTGAAATGGCTTATTAAAGTTGGATTAGTAGCTAGCAATATAATGTGGTACTCGTTAACTGTATATGCCGTGGTCCCACTGTTAATATTCCTGTTAATACTCAAATCAGTAACTTTCATTTCAACCACGAACGCATTTCTACTAAGTCAACATAACTACTAACTCGTACATTCAACTAATGAGTTCTGAATAAGACGAAATGCACGTCTTGAATTTCACTATTAGTGACTGTCCAGTTTAAGTGAAAACTTGTTACTAAATAGCAATATCGATGCAACCCATTCGAGATTTATATATCCCAACAGAGAGTGTTCAATCGCAAAACTTAACATCAACACTGACAAAATTCAAATCTCTACGAATAGAAATCACTTTATTCCACACAATAGGATCCAATTGAGAGTTCGGTCGACAAAACCCAAAATATTAATAGATATGTTGTTTTAATTACACAGTTCTCAGTTCATTTGTATTTCATTGTTTTAGATGATCAACAACAGATAAAAAGAATTATACTATTCATTAAGATAAATTCGCCTAAGATTTTTATAGATTCATTATTTATTTATTTGAACACATAAACATTGGTACCAGGGGGCACCAAATGCATACGCGCCACATAATAATAAGGCCAGTAGTAGTTATCACTAATTTATATGAGGGTTCTGATATTACCCGGGTACTCAAACCGTAGCAGGTTTTCTTAGGGGGCCACACCCTGAGCCTTCAACCTAAAGGTCTAATCCACAAAGCAGTGGAGCAACGTTAGGAGATTCAGACCCATGGTAGCCGGTGACCAATAATTGGTTCATACTCCATTTGTTCCCTCAGGATCCTGGAACCTATGTGCACCATCGGTTTGGAATCAAGGTTTTCAAAATTCCTTAGGTAAACTCTCCGTGTCCACCAACCCGGTTAGAGCGCCGGACATTCGCTTTTCGTCTTCTCAATTTCCTAAACAACAGTAATGCAACGAGAAGGTAGTGAGTAGGACTTCCGTGGCAGTAGCTGCATACGCATGGCCATGTGAGAGCATTTCGAGAGGGAGAGTGGATTGTCCCCACTCTCAGCCATACCAAGCACCTGGAGGACTGACTAATAAAAATCCAAAATATCGTGTAAAACTTCAAGAATGAACTTTAAAGCCTAATGATCTATCAAGAACTATATTCTGAATTTTTTGGGGGTGGTATTCAAATAGTTAATTGGAGTGGGAAAAAATGCTGTAATGTGATACAATATAATGTACAGTATTATCATCAAATCCAACTAAACACGTGAATGTAAATATTCACGGGTTCATTTAAACAAAGAAAAAGAAACATTACAGTGTCTATCTATCAATTAATAGTTATCCGACGGGGTTTTGTGGAGATTTTAGAAATTTAAATAGTTGAAATCATGAGTCAATTGAAGCTAGACCACCATGGAAAACCCGGAAGCACTGGAAGGCCGTTTCATCCTAGTATGGGACTCCTCAGCAGTGCACATTCACGGTCTAATCCACAAAGCAGTGGAGCAACGTTAGGAGATTCAGACCCATGGTAGCCGGTGACCAATAATTGGTTCATACTCCATTTGTTCCCTCAGGATCCTGGAACCTATGTGCACCATCGGTTTGGAATCAAGGTTTTCAAAATTCCTTAGGTAAACTCTCCGTGTCCACCAACCCGGTTAGAGCGCCGGACATTCGCTTTTCGTCTTCTCAATTTCCTAAACAACAGTAATGCAACGAGAAGGTAGTGAGTAGGACTTCCGTGTCAGTAGCTGCATACGCATGGCCATGTGAGAGCATTTCGAGAGGGAGAGTGAACTCTTCCCACCCTCAGTCGTTTTGTTGTTGGCAATACGTTTTTTTAGAAGTTTGTCATTTCTTAGTTTATTCTTCAAAAACATTGGTCGGTAATCAAAATAAATCTAAAATTCGAATAAGTATTGCAATATTGTATGAGTAGTTTAATGTTTCTTTTCAGTTGGATATAAGTTTTTGGATGATAATTGCGATTAATAAATGGGAAAAATACAATTATTGTTCTCAACGCCGTTATCATATCTTCTTTACTATATTTACCTTTGAAATTTTTCTACG